GGTTCGAAACCTGTTTCGGATCTTGTTTGGATTTGGTCGTCTTGCTTCGGATTAAATTTGAAATTTGTGTAACACAACACAAAAACTCAATTATCTCAAAATTGTGATCTACCCGATTTGTCCCTTTTCTATTGACCGCCCCCCATATAATCATTTGGAACTTGAGATTTTTTCTAGATAATGAGTTAAAATAAATAGATTTAAGCAAACTCATGAGAATAATCATTCAAAAATTTCACCTTCGTTGTCTTCGTTGTCTTCGTTGTGTAAATTTAATTGTTCTAGTAGAATTGGCTACAATATCGAGTGAAAACCTGTGACCAATCTACTTCCAGGTTTTCATTCTCACGCACTCATATGATGAATGTTGTAATATCTTTGCTTTTACTGTTAGCAATACTTTGACATTATGTAATTATTTTTTAAAATTATACTCGTTCAAAGTTACTACTTAATGTCTCATAAATTGTGGTAATAACAATACTAAAAGGTTTTTTTTAAGAAATCACGTGCTATTCTAATTACCGATAGTAATCCAAGTCTTAAAACTAGAAATGTTCATATCGACTGATTTTTATAATTATATATATATATATATTATAATATATAATTGATGCACCTTAACGTTAATCCGGGGAGATTAAAATCTGGCGATTTTTCACAGAATATAGCTTGTCTCAATTCGTACAAATCGTGATATCCAAATAGGTTTTCTTAATATTAAATATAGTAAAGCATTGACGGCGGTTTTGATTGTTACGTTATAAACAACCCCCAATCTACTAGAGATTGTACCCGGGTAACCATTTTTATTTGTATGATACGTATATATAATAAAATTACCCGGATAACCAAGTGGAAATTTCCATTCTACACTAACCCTAATTCCACCTCTAACGTTATGATGACTCCTTATGTGCTATTATGTGTTACTAGTGCAAATACCAATGTACATACGTACGTACGTACGTATAAAACTTGCAGAAATAAGTAAATCTTTATCATCATTATAACGATAAGGAAAATAACCCCCGTGACTATGTAGATTTGATGCCACTAACGATCAATCCGATCAATCCGATCAATCCGAATAAACTTTCTTTTGTTTGGTAAAGCTCACGAAATAATGTTAGTAATATTAATACAGTGTTGTACATTTTGGCTGTCCCGACTTTTTTTAAGCCCTGTTTCGCCCGTTCCGTCTCGGGATTTCCTAATTTTAACTCGAAAAGCTATATCAAAGCTATAATAAAATAAATTTTAACCATTTCTATTTAGGAATGGTCTTAATAAAATCTTGAATTATTGTTATCGTTATCGTTATCGTTATTGACTTTTTTTTTTTAACTGTTTCATTTCCGATAGCTAAGTATCCTTGCACGTGATTAATGTTAAATGAAATGCAGTAATGGTAATAGCTTTAAAAATTTGTGGCACTGCAGAATTACATCACATGTTAATATGTTTGACGAACATAATTTGTGATAAGATGCCACTTATTTGTTCCACAGCCACAGTAAGATTGTAAACGCGATAAAAAAAGCCGTTCGTTGTTCCTTGATCTTTGAACAGGGAAAAGAATGGATGACAGGAAACCAAGCACACCTTCGAATTCTGACGAAAATTCCGAAACGTACCCGAAACTTCCCTCGCCAGTTATTGCAAGAAGCTACCATGCTCTCAACGGCTCTAATATTACTTCTCCCCAAATTGCTTCCCTCCGTTTAAAACCAACAAAAAGTACAGATTCCCTCACAAATCATCCTTTGCAGATTTTTGACGAAGAAGAAAGTGAGACGTATCCTACCTGGTCGAGTCAATTAATTAGAAGATCTCCGTCGTCGTCTTCAACTTCGTCTTCGTCTTCCCTACAACCAAGATTTTCTTCCCCTCACCCCGTACCAGGTGACTCAGTAGGCGGTCTGATGCTCACAAAGCTTAGTGAAAAGAATGCGGACTTTTCAGGCATTGTGCAAATGTTGATTGCTAAAAAGGTTGGAGACTGCATGTCTTTTGACTTTTGATGGGACCCTGCACCTAGTATGTATTTGTAGCATTAGTTTGACTTTTCCTTCCAACATGTATCTTTTTGGTTGACACCACCCCATACAATTTTCACTCTGGATCGGGCTATCTCAGGCAACTCTCTTACTCCCTGCGTCTCATGTAATGCCATTCGAACAAATTGATCTAGCTCTCCTCGAAGATCATGTAATTGTCTCTCAACCCAGCGATGATGGTCATAAAGCAATAACTTTGAATGGTATTACAGGTTTTATTCTACAGTAAGTAATTTCTCTATCTCTCTAATTGCTACAATTTAATTTTTCAATCTCTAATTGCTACAATTTAATTTTTCAATCTCTAATTGCTACAATTT